TCCTTCACAAGCAGTACAATGAACAGAAATATGAAGACATAAAGTTCTGAAAAAGTGGATGGTCCCAATTTGGAGGGAAGTAGGGAGACGGTGTGAGGGATGGGATTTGGAAAGGAAGCCAAGAAAAGTGTCAGGAGGGTCTTTAAACAGTCGTTTCTCTCTACCACGAGAGAACAATAGCTGTTCATACAATAGAGCTGGGACAAACTGCTAAGAACTGGCATTTTCTGTTTCTTTGTTTTACTAGCTGGGAGAAACACAGAGTATAAACAGGGAAGGAACAAATGTGATGAACTCCTACTTTGCCTGTTTTCTCATGCCTTTCCACGTATATTCCAGAGGGAAGCAGGAGACAGACAGGTAGGGAGGGCAGGGAGGAAATTATTGCCTAAAGCAGCTTGTCTTTGAGAGAAGAGGAGGGTTTGGGTTCACTTGGAATCTGTTGAACAATCTGAACCAGGTATAATACTATTCAGGCTATTTCTTTCATCATAGCTAAGTTTTGGTCATTTATGGTTTTTGAGAAATTATTCCATTTAATCTAAGTTGTTGAATTTATATTTGAGAGTTGTTTATAACATTCCTTATTATCCTTTTATTTAAGTTGCATATTATCCTTTTAATGTCTGTGAGGCTTTTAATGATTTCCCCTCCTTCAATCTTGATAACAGTAAATTGTTTCTTTCCTCTTTTCTTCTCTCTCTCTCTCTCCTTCCTTCCTTCCCTCCTTCCTTCCTTCCTTCCTTCCTTCCTTCCTTCCTTCCTTCCTTCCTTCCTTCCTTCCTTCCTTCCTTCCTTCCTTCCTTCCTTCCTTCCTTCCTTCCTTCCTTCCTTCCTTCCTCTTTCTCTTACACTCTTTGCTCTACCTTTAAAATATATCTGGAATCCAACCATTTCTCACCTCTTTCCTGCCACCACCTTAGTCCTAGTGACCATGATGTCTCTACTGGATTAATCTACTAGCCTCCGGACAGGCCTCTGTACCTCCACTCATGCTGCTCATCAGGTTCTCAACAGAGTAGTGAGAGTGACTCTATTAAAAATATAGGTCAGATCATATCACTTCTCTGCTTCAAACCTGCAATGACTCTCTAGTTCACTTATATAAGCACAAAAATATGTACACAGTCCTGGATGATCTCTCTTCTTCCACTCCTCTCTGACCTCACCTACTATCCTCTTCCTCTCCCACTTTGCTCCAGCCACAATGGCTTCCTTGCTCATCTTGGAAAATGCCAGGCACATACCCACCCTAGGGGCTTTACATCAGGTTTTCTTCTGCCTCTGATGCTCTGCTCAGTTTTGTTTTGTTTTGTTTTGCTTGGCTTATTCCCTCATTTTCTTCAAGTCTTTGCTCAGTGTCACCTTTTCAATGAGACCTGATCTGACCACCTGTGGTATAGTAAACACATTTGGTCTTTGTTCCCAGTTCCTGGTCTAGAGTTCCTAAAACTCTTATAATTTTTTGAGGTATAAGGGTGCTAGGAGTATCTTTTGTTCTAATATT